AGAATGAATGCCGCAACATATCAAAATAATTTGGAAGCAAAATTAATGATTTTTTTTTAAAATCTTGAACATCCTCCTGATTAGATCTTTCAACAAAGTAATGATCCTAAGCACTAAGTAAAATCTTCGAAGAAATGGCTTGCTGAAAATAATGTAAATATCCTAAAATGGACAAGTCATCCCCCAGATTTTAACTCCAATCGAGAATCTGTGGTGTTATTTGAAAATTCAAATTCAATCGAGAGCAACAACAAACATCCCAGACCTGAAGACGATATGTGAAGAAGAATGGAACAAAATACCAACTAAAATTTGCAAATCTTTAATTGAGAACAAGAGTTTGATTGCTGTAGAAGTGAATAATGGCTATTCTACAAAGTATTAAATGAAAATTATGTATTCTTTTTATATTGTACGAATACTTTTTCACCCATTAAAATGGATAAATGTGATTTATTTCTATTAAATCATTTTGTTCTGTTTTCTATCCATATTTAGTTATTATGCAACTGTGTACAGTTAATTATATGAAAAGTATGTCTATTCTTTAGTTGAAAAGACAATAAATTAGAAATTTGTATGTACGAATACTTGTTTTCCCCACTGTGTGTGTGTGTGTGTGTGTGTGTGTGTGTGTATGCGTGTTCGTGTCTACAGCACAGACGAACGGAGTCAACACTGGCGTTACTGGTAGACAGCATTCCTTATATAAAGATTATTTGGATCAAATAAGCTGTTTTTGAGAGTCGTTCTGATTGGTCTATAAATGTAAGAAAGACGTTTGTTTTCAAAATAGAGTAACTTTGTCGGTTGAATCTGTAGGGTTCAGCGTACCCGGATTAAAAGGAGAATTTAATACGGGATACCCTGCCCACAAAATACAATGCAAATTTCAAGAAGAAACAACACGATAAGGAACGTTTGTAGAAAATAGAACATTGTATATTTATTATCTTGTGAATAGGGTAAAAAAAAATTAATGTTTTAGTTCGTTTAAGCAAAATGATTTTGACAAAAATGTCTGTGTTCGCTGTCTTTCAACAGAGTAACAGAGTAATGTCTGTTTCTTTTGTTTTTGTATATGTGAAAGGAAAAAGGGGCTATCAATTTAAGTTGAAAAAAGAGTGTGAATGAGGAATAAAGATAAAAGGAAAATGTACTTATGAATTGTTTTTGAGTCATTTGTAAATTTGTTGTTGTTGTGGTTGTCCTTTCCTAATTCACTTTCGGCTCTTAGTGTCGGGTTGAGTCAGTGATGGAATTTACTGTCAGTCTTCTGTCCTCTATGATCTCTGCGCCCTTCTGACTGGTGACTGACTTGAAACTCTCTATTTATTGTTGACTTTTTTTCCACACTGGCTCGTTATCTTTTTTTTGGTTTAGCAAATCGCCTCCTTTCATTGGTCAGAAAATTAATTTCACACCTTATTGCGAAATCTGTTTTTAGTCGTTTTGATCCGATTTTGCGGGTGTACAAATCTACTTTGTGTTTTTTAGTCATTTGTTGGAATGATATAGGATTTGTATCCTATAAAACCCCTGCAGATTGATAAATATTGAAAATATTTTTCAATATCTAATATATGTTTTAAAATGAGTAGGCCAGTGTACATGTCTACCCGATCTTGTGGTAATGTTTTTAGGCGTGTTTGGAGGTGTAGAAAATGTTTCACTTACGTTGGTATTTGTCGCGGCTGTAGAATGTTCCGACGTACTTTCCTTTGTAGGTAAATCCAAGTACGCTGGTTTTAGTCTGTCTATAGAGACAGTGTCTTGCTTGCCTTTTGCTACAATTGTGAAATATTTGGGTTTTCTGTTGACTACTTGGAAAGGTCCCGTATAAGTAGGGCAAAGAGACCTTTTACTGTGTCGTTTCGTACGAAAACATATTCACAATTGTGGAGGTCTTTTGGAGTGTAAAGGTCTTTTTTGTTTGTGTTCTAGTGGGTGTGAAAAACTAGTTCATTCATTCTTTGCTTAAATCTTTGTACAAAAGATGTATTTGGTTGGAGTTGACTGGATTTGTCACAAAACTGTCCTGGTAACGTCAAGGACGTTCCAAAAACCATTTCAGATGCTGTACATCCTAAATCTTCTTTGATTACATTCCGGATGGATAGTAATATTAGCGGTAGATTTTCTAACCACGTCTTGGAATCATTATTTGCAGTTAATGCTGTCTTAAGTTGCCTGTGGAACCGTTCAATTAAGCCATTGGCACATGGGTGATAAACCGTTGTTGTTATATGCTTAACTCCCAATAGTTTTGTGAACTCATCAAAGAGCATAGATTGGAACTGAGAACCTCGGTCTGTAGTTATTACTGAGGGACAACCAAAAACGGCAATCCACTCATGTAATATACTTTTAGAGATCGTTTCTGCAGATATATCCCTTAGAGGAACAATGACAGGCCATCTTGTGAATCGGTCGATAATAGTGAGTAGGTAACTATGTCCGTTTGCTTCTGGTAAGGGACCCACTATGTCAATGTGAAGATTCGTGAATCTACCATCTGGTTTTAGAAAATGCCCTGGAGGGGACTTAGTATGTCTGTTTACTTTGCTTTTTTGGCACTTTAAACAAGTTTGAGTCCAGATTTTTATGTCAGTATGCATGTTTGGCCAGACAAAACGACTGCTAATCAACCTCTCGGTTGCTCGGTGTCCGGGATGTGAGAGATTGTGAAAATGCAGAAATATTTTTTTCTCAATAAAGGTGGAATATATGGTCTTGAATAACCAGTCCCAATGTCACAGAGTAGTGTTTTTGTTCCAAATGGGACGGGGTGTTCCTTCAATTGGAAAGAAGTGTCCTCTTTTATTTTGTATAATGTGGTATCTTCCTTTTGTTCATCTGCAATGAGGTCGAAGATAAGGGTTTCAGAATCGATAGATTGTATCGTGGAGCGCGAGAGTGTATCTACCACGATATTGTCTGAACCTTTAATATAGCGGATATCCGATGTAAATTGGGATATGTAGTGCAGTTGTCGCGTATCTCTGGGTGTGTATTTATCTATGTTCACATGTAAAGCGTAAGTGAGGGGTTTGTGGTCTGTTAAAATAGTAAAGTTTCGTCCCTCGAGCAGATGTCGAAATTGCTTATTGCTCGAGAAGGTACTGTACTTCTGCTGTGCTTTGTTTAATTTGACCGAGAAGAAGGAGATTGGCTTTACTGAACCATTTAGCTTCTAATGTAGAACTGCTCCAATTGAATCTCCTGAGGCGTCAGTTGTCAATGTAAGTGTTGAGTTAGCATCGTCACTGATGTAAGATAGCTTGGTAAAATCTGCCAACGCTTTTTTAGCATTTTGAAATGTAGCTAACGCTTCTACGTCGATCAGTATTTTTGCATTTTTCTTCTTCTGTTTTTGCAGCAAGTTTGTGAGTGGGGTCAAAATTCTGGAACAACCTGGAATAAATCTACGGTAGTAATTTATTAAACCGAGAAATCGTCTTAATTGACGCAGTGATGTCGGCTGCTGAAAGTTTTGTATTGCTTCTACTTTCTCTGGGACAGGTGTGATTCCGTTTTTGTCGATCACATGGCCCTAAGAAATTTAACTTTGAAACAGCAAAATCGCATTTGTGGACATTTATCTTTAAGCCAAAATGTGCCAGTCTCTCGAAGACTTGTTGAATATGGTATAGGTGTTCTTTTCCATCACGACTGGCGATAAGCACGTCATCGATATATGCAAAGGTAAAAGGCAATCCTCTCAAAACTTCATCAATGAGTCTTTGAAAGGTTTGGGCGGCATTACGTAACCCAAATGGCATCCTGGTGAATTCATAGAGTCCAAAAGGAGTGGTAATTGCAGTTTTCCTTGTGTCTTCTTCAGCTACTGGAATTTGGTAGTACGCCTTAACCAAATCCAATTTTGTAAAAACTGTGGTTCCTTGTAAACCAATGGAGAAATCATGTAAGTGCGGTATAGGATATCTATCAGGAACAGTTTTTGCATTGAGATTCCTAAAATCCCCACAAGCTCGCCATGCGCCAGCTTCTGGTTTCGGAACCATATGTAGCGGAGAGGAGCATGGGCTATTTGAAGGACGTATGATGCCTAACTGCAACATATGTTGAAATTCGTCTTTTGCTATTTTATATTTGTTCGGATGTAATCTGCGTGGTGATGCGTGTGTAGGTGGTCCAGCTGTGGTGATATAATGTTTAGCAGTGTGACGGATTTCATTTGTATGTGTTAAAGGTGTGGTTAGTGTAGGAAATTTTTTTATCAATTCATGTAGGCCATTAGCCGTTGGTATTGCTGAACTAATTCCTGTTGACTTGTAGATTGAGGTGATTCCCTTTGTTCTTAGGTTTGTTTTACTGTCAATGAGAGAGTGTGTCTATTTATTGTTGACTTTTTTTCACACTGGCTCGTTATCTTTTTTTTGGTTTAGCAAATCGCCTCCTTTCATTGGTCAGAAAATTAATTTCACACCTTATTGCGAAATCTGTTTTTAGTCGTTTTGATCCGATTTTGCGGGTGTGCAAATCTACTTTGTTGATTTGTATCCTATAAATCCTTTCACGTCCGAATGAGTCGCTTTTAGTTTGAAAGAAGCTTTTCTTGTTGGCTCTAAAATAATGGTTTATGTGATTAAAATTTAGATTTGTTTTAAGTTACTACAAGCTGATCACTGGACAATTTCATTACAAATGAAAAACAAAACGATAACAAACTTGAGGTAACAGAAACACGGTTCTACCAATGGCATAGGCTGGAGGCAGGCGAAGTTCCCTTTGAGTTTCGGAGGCCTGGGCCTTCGATCAGCGGCAGATTTGGCCCTTCCAGCATATCTTTCTTCACTTTCTTCCAGTCGTAAATTAATTGATGAGATACTCGGTGGATCGTCTCAGTGTTTCTCGGATAGTTCTTTCGAATAAGCTTGCAGCGTCCCGACTCAAGAATTACTTTCTATCCCACTAGACACATCAAAACATAAAAGTTGGGATAAAATAAAATGCGAGGCCAATTTTACTAATTTGAGGCTCTCTCTGGATCAGCATCGCCTCGCCTGTCTACTATCTGCTTCACAACCGAGTAGTGGCGCCTGGCTCAACGCAGTACCTTCTTCATCTTTGTCATTCTTTTCCTTTCAGCTATTAAGAGTAAAAAAAAAAATCTATCAACAAGCGGAGCTTGGACCAACCTTAATTGTTTTATGACCCTTCGCGCAGAACTCTTCATTGCCTATTCAAGAAAGACATTCAGATTACTAACACAAAAACAGAGAATGTCTCATATCATGAATATTTAACATTGAAAAACATAAGGAAAAAATTAATTATTTTTAATAATATGTGGAAATCTCCGCTTTTACCTGAAGACGGTCACGAGACCAGAAACACGTGTAGTAAAATTATGGAAAATAAAGCATAATATTTTTTTCTAAAAAAAACACATTACAACTAAAAACGTTTGCGGCACCTCTCTTCTCTTCTTTTTAATATACATACATTTCTCTCGAACCACTACAACCTCTTTCTTTTACACACACACACACACACACACACACACACACACACACACACACACATATATATATATATATATATATATATATATATATATATATATTAATTGAAGACCAATGGAAGTTTGGCAATGTTTAACCTTCATGCCTGCAAAAAAAATAACAGTCTGTCAAAAGGATGGTTATTCTCTTGACACTGCTATAACTGTATTCACTTTTGATTCCCTCGGCATCTATTACTGCATACCCTCTTGGAAGAGGGAAAAACTGACTTGGCCATTAAGCAAGGTCTGGACAGTACCTTTAAGTAAAATCCATCTTGTCATAGAGTCTTTGAAATTTTCATATTTAATCAGTTTCAAATCACAATGTAAACAAAGTAATTTCCTAAAGAAGTAATGGATTTTTTTTATTTCTTAATATTTTATTTAATAAATAAATGAAGCATCTACTCAAATATGAGTATCCACTAAAAATAATGTTTAATGTGATAAAAATCTTTTAGGATTAATAAATAACAAATCCATCACTTCTTAAAAAAATCCCATGTTTATGTTTTGATACACTGTTTAGACCTTGCTAGATTAGCAAAGTTTCTTCATGGCCAAGTTGGTTAAGGCATGTTGGATTTAATGATGGTTTCCTTCTACATAGGGGGACACAGGTTTGAATCCTGTCAGAAAACATATTTGTTTTTAATCTAGATTTCTTGAATATTAAGGTGAGTAGATGAAAATAATTAAATATACTGTTTAATAAATAAATGGAGCATCTACTCAAACATGAGTATTCACTAAAAATAATGATTATATATATATATATATATATATATATATATATATATATATATATATATATATATATATGCTCCAAGTTAGTGGGAAGGCCAAGACTGACTTTGCATTTCCCAACTCCCATCAATAGTGGAAATAATCGATTTTTTTCATGCTTCTACGGCAGTTTTCATGTAGTTTGCAGCCATTTTGTACTGGCCAGAGTGAGAGCCAATAGCTGGCTGCCACAAATAGGCAGGAAGATTCTATTGGCCAGCGTGAGAGCCAACAGCTGACTGACATGAATGTTAACTAGCATGGCAGCATGCAAAAAAAATCGATAGCTGCATTCGTCACAAGTGGGAAAAAATTTAAATCTGTATGGCACCTTACTTCAATTGGCTCATTCGCTTGCTTAAACTTAACGTTGATTCTGATTCCGCAGAACTGGGTTGGGTGTGAAAAAGTATTTGTTGTTAACATTCTTTTTTCATTTGGTTTTTCCAGTTACAAGTCCTTTTTTTAAAGCTGATCGTTTTGTGCTCATTTTGTTTAGTTCTTTTTTCGTAACAGATTTAATGTTTAGTAGAGAGCTTAGAAAAAATTTGCAGTGTGAGATAGGCAAGAAGTAAGGCATATAGCAACATCAGCATGGCAAAGGGCACTCCTTTAAAGGCAAGGAAGGGCAAAAATATTTTAAGTCAAGTGATAGCAATTTTTGAATCAAGCACGGGCAACGCTGGGCCATGCTGCTAGTAGAAAAAAAACCTAACTTTTACTGCCTGATGATCCACAGGTGAAACTACAGTAGAGCTAACATATTTAGTTAGATTGATGTGAGTTTGTTATATTGGGTTTCATGCTATATATATTATATATAATTGCCAACCCAATTTCACTGATAAGGCTGGAGACAACCTGTGGTATGGTTTTCAGGCACTTTTCAAAGGTGCCCTACACTTCAAACTGATAAAATCAAGAAGTCACCTTCCTGAGAAATTGACCATGGTGAGATTCATGGTCAGAAGATGAATGTTATAACCACTTGGCCATGTGACCATATATATATATATATATATATATATATATATATTATTTATTTTTAAAATATGATTCCAAAACGCGACATAAGAAGTCTCATGTTTCAAAACAGGAGCCGAAAACTTTAATATAATTATTTAAATTAAATTGAGTTAAAGTAAGCTCTGTTCCATCTTCAAGCGAAAATTTTTTTAATTATATTTATGCTCTACTTTTGTATCGAGCACTATTTTAAAAAAATAATAACTAAAATACTAAGGGACTTTGGATTATTTACCTAACCAGTTCCTTCCTATTTTCTATATATTTTCACATTTCATATATATATATATATATATATATATATATATATATCTACAAATGAGAGAAAGAACAGATGGAGTAAAAATCTACTGTTGGCAGCATTTACTTTTAAAATGTCCTCAATACAAAGTAGAACAATATATTATCATATTTTTATTATAAGAGATTCTAATAACTTTTGGAAAATAGGCAACACTTTGTTTTAAAATTTCCTTAAAAATCATTTAATCACCAGTTACTTACAATCGCCTGAAGAAGTACAATCATAGTATTGAAACATTTGTGTAGTGATTTCAAAATGTTTTTATAATTTATTATAATAAAAATACAATAATAATATATATATATATATATATATATATATATATATATATATAATATATAAACACTCATACACACATCCTGCCCTTGTGTCAGTTGCTTAGTAAGTCCAGGTGTGAGAAACAATGAATATTCATCAGGAAGACTGGTATTTCCATTTTTTTTTATAACCAAAAACTTTTTGGCTTTGATCATGAAACTTATACTGGCAGGCTACTGAATAAAGGGGGTAATTAGCTTATAAGTTCAGCCGCTGAACAATAATTTGTTTGTCATAAACAGGGTATATATATATATATATATATATATATATATATATATATATATATATATTGAAAGAGAAATAGAAAAATTTACTCAATAACCTTAATATACATAATTACACGAATATATATACATATATGAGTACAAACCAAATTTTGTTTTATGTTAAGCTTACGAAAATAAAAAAAAAATTAAAAGCATTTACATTTCTAATATATCAACTTTCACCAGGAATATTAGGTAGAACTTTAATTTATACACCTATTATATATTTAATTTATATATGTATTATGAAGGAGTGCTGAAAAATTCATGACATGACTCACTTTCAAAAAACTGGCCAAATGACCAAACATTATGATTTTTTGGTTGAGGTTTGGGAATATTCTTTGTCTGTCTGAGAACTTTTCAGTACCCTTCATGTGCTTCTACCTTGGATTAATAAATGAATTTCACAGATCATTGTTGTTGTAGTGAATGTAATCCTTACTGACTGTGTCACACATGACTTTTTGATCGACTAAGTTAAGAACGCCTCCGAAACTAAACTGCTTTCATTTAACCACCACAAAGAACCTTTTCTGCCTGCCATCAGCATGGCTGGTGCTTGATTCCAGGAGGGCAACACACTATGCCTTCTTGGCCTCACGTTTTCCACTGACTTGAACTGGAGCGATTAGATTGAATCATTTGCTTCACCTACTGCAAGGAAAAGAGGGTCACTGTGTCATCTTGCACATTTACAAATCTACCATTTGTCCATGAATTCTGTTGCCATATTTGGTTCGCTGCTCCTACTGTACATCTAGAGATTCTTGACAAGTTCCAAAGTGGGATCTGCAACGTAATCTATCTTGACCTGGCATTTTCATAAGTCTCTTTCTCACTGACGTGATGTGGCTTCCCTCTGTCTTTTCTACAAATATTTTCATGATAACTCTTCTGATGAGCTTTTTTTCCCTGGTACCCCAATGACATGAATTTAAGCCTGTTACTACATTGGCAACTAGGTCTCACTGTTTTACTATTGAAATAGCTAAATGCAACCCACGCTTCTACTCCAACAGTTTCGTTTCTCGTACTTCCCACCTATGGAACTCTCTTCTATTTTCTTGCTTCCCCGATAACTACAATCTACAAATACTTAAATGCAATGTCAATCGCCATTTTCTGTTTTCTTGAATTCCGTTCATCTTTTGTCTTTTTCTCAATCCTCCCAATTCTCAATCTTCTCTTTCATTTTCACTCACTGTAACCACCTGTGTACTAGTGGCATTACCGTCTTACTTAGGGTGAAATGATTAAAAATGAAAAAATAAAAAGTGTAATTAATATGAATAATTAATTTAACCTTAAATAATTTTATTACGGTTCACATTCTTAAAGGTTTGTATAAGTAGTCATTATTAATTTTTGACAGGTAATTCTTTCATTTTAATTTCATTTGATTTTTATTACAGCTACTATTCTATGGCTATCAGTTAAACAATGTTGATAGAACTAAAGAATTACTAATGGTCGTAGAATGACAGTAGTTGGGATAAATAACTGAAATTAAAATTAAAGAGATACAAATAAAAAAATTAAATCAGACAACGTACGATTATTTCTCTCTCTATGAAATCTTTCTATTTCTCTCTTTATGAAATCATTCTATTTCTCTCTCTCTATGAAATCTTTCTATTTCTCTCTCTATGAAATCTTTCTATTTCTCTCTTTATGAAATCTTTCTATTTCTCTCTCTCTATGAAATCTTTCTATTTCTCTCTTTATGAAATCTTTCTATTTCTCTCTCTCTATGAAATCTTTCTATTTCTCTCTCTATGAAATCTTTCTATTTCTCTCTCTATGAAATCTTTCTATTTCTCTCTTTATGAAATCTTTCTATTTCTCTCTTATGAAATCTTTCTATTTCTCTCTCTCTATGAAATCTTTCTATTTCTCTCTCTATGAAATCTTTCTATTTCTCTCTCTCTATGAAATCTTTCTATTTCTCTCTCTGAAAATCTTTCTATTTCTCTTTATGAAATCTTTCTATTTCTCTCTTTATGAAATCATTCTATTTCTCTCTTTATATGAAATCTTTCTATTTCTCTCTCTATGAAATCTTTCTATTTCTCTCTCTTTATGAAATCTTTTCTATTTCTCTCTCTATGAAATCTTTTCTATTTCTCTCTTTATTTTTCTCTCTCTATTTTTCTCTCTCTCTATGAAATCTTTCTATTTCTTTCTTTCTTTCTATTTCTCTCTGTGAAATCTTTTCTATTTCTCTCTTTATGAAATCTTTCTATTTCTCTCTCTATGAAATCTTTTCTTTTTCTCTCTCTATGAAAATCTTTCTATTTCTTTCTCTCTTTATGAAATCTTTCTATTTCTCTCTCTATGAAATCTTTCTATTTCTCTCTCTATGAAATCTTTCTTTTTCTCTCTCTCTATGAAATCTTTCTATTTCTCTCTCTATGAAATCTTTCTATTTCTCTCTTTCTATTTCTCTCTTTGAAATCTTTCTCATTTCTCTCTATTGAAATCTTTCTATTTCTCTATGAAATCTTTCTATTTCTCTCTTTATGAAATCTTTCTATTTCTCTCTCTATGAAATCTTTTCTATTTCTCTCTATTATTTCTCTCTATGAAATCTTTCTATTTCTCTCTCTATGAAATCTTTCTATTTCTCTCTCTATTTCTCTCTCTCTTTCTATTTCTCTCTCTATGAAATCTTTCTATTTCTCTCTCTATGAAATCTTTCTATTTCTCTCTCTATGAAATCTTTCTATTTCTCTCTTTATGAAATCTTTCTATTTCTCTCTCTATGAAATCTTTCTATTTCTCTATGAAATCTTTCTATTTCTCTCTTTATGAAATCTTTCTATTTCTCTCTCTATGAAATCTTTCCTCTCTCTCTCAAATCTTTTCTCTCTTTATAGATTTTCTCTTTCTCTCTCTCTATGAAATCTTTCTATTTCTCTCTATTTCTCTTTCTATTTCTCTTTAAATCTTTCTATTTCTCTCTCTATGAAATCTTTCTATTTCTCTCTCTCTTTCTATTTCTCTCTTTATATTTCTTTCTATTTCTATTTCTCTCTTTCTATTTCTCTCTCTATGAAATCTTTTTCTCTTTCTCTCTCTTTATTTTCTCTCTTTGAAATCTTTCTATTTCTCTCTCTTTATGAAATCTTTCTATTTCTCTCTCTATGAAAATCTTTCTATTTCTCTCTTTATGAAATTAGCTTTCTCTATGAAATCTTTCATTCCTCTATAAATCTTTCTCTCTCTATTTTTCTCTCTCTATGAAATCTTTTCTCTTTCTTTCTCTATGAAATTTTCTATTTCTCTCTTTCTCTCTTTTATAAATCTTTCTATTTCTCTCTCTATGAAATCTTTCTATTTCTCTCTATAAAATCTTTTAACATTCTCTCTATATAATCTTTCTATTTCTCTCTCTATGAAAAACGTTTTCTCTCTCTCTAATTCAAAATTTCTCTCTATTTCTCTCTCTTTCTCTCTCTATGAAATCTTTCTGACTCTTTCTCTCTATTTCTTTCTATTTCTCTATCTATGAAATCTTTCTATTTCTCTCTTTATGAAATGGGCGTTTCTATTTCTCTATGAAATCTTTCTTTTCTCTATCTAAAAATTTCCTCTCTATTGAAATAATTTTCTATTTCTCTCTATGAAATCTTTCTATAAGGTGAAATGGTATGGTCAGTTCCGTAATAATCTATTTCTCTCAATTGACTCAGTAAATCTTTCTATTTCTCTCTTTGAAAACGTTAGCCAGGTTTATGAAATGAAATTTGGTCATTTCCGTAATTCAATCTTCTACAATTGACTCAGAAATCTTTCTATTTCGTATTATTAGAAAGGTGAAATGGTATGGTCATTTCCGTAATAATCAGGCCTAACAATTGACTCAGTATAATCTTTCTATTTCGTATTAGCTCGTTAGCCAGGTAAGGTGAAATGGTTTCTCAGTTCCGTAAAATAATTTCTCCTAACAATTGACTCAGTATAATCTTTCTATTTCTATTAGCGGAAAACGTTAGCCAGGTATGAAATGGTTTGGTCAGTTCCGTAATAATTCTCCTAAAATTGACTCAAATAATCTTTCTATTTCGTATTATGGAAAACGTTAGCCAGGTAAGGTGAAATGGTTATGGTCAGTTCCGTAAAATCAGGCCTTTCTTGACTCAGTATAATCTTTCTATTTCGTATTAGCGGAAAACGTTAGCCAGGTAAGGTGAAATGGTATGGTCAATTCCGTAATAATCAGGCCTAACAATTGACTCAGTATAATCTTTCTATTTCTATCTAGCGGAAAACGTTAGCCAGGTAATGAAATGGTATGGTCATTTCCGTAATAATCTCCAAACAATTGACTCAGTATAATCTTTCTATTTCGTATTAGCGGAAAACGTTAGCCAGGTAAGGTGAAATGGTTTCAGTTCCGTAATAATCTCTCTCAATTGACTCAATAATCTTTCTATTTCGTATTAGCGGAAAACGTTAGCCAGGTGAAAAATTTTCTGGTTTCTCTCTAATAATCATGAAATTGACTCAGTATAATCTTTTTCCGTATTAGCGGAAAACTTTTAAGGTGAAATTCTGGTCTTCCGTAAAATCTAACAATTGACTCATTATAATCTTTCTATTTCGTATTAGCGGCGGAAAACGTTAAAAAGAGAAATAAGGTGAAATGGTATGGTCAGTTCCCGTAAAATCTTAACAATTGACTCAGTATAATCTTTCTATTTCGTATTAGCGGAAAACGTTAGCCAGGTAAGGTGAAATGGTATGGTCATTTCTCTAATAATCATGACTCAATAATCTTTCTATTTCGTAAATCGTTAGCCAGGTAAGGTGAAATGGTTTCAGTTCCGTAATTCAGGCCCTAACAATTGACTCATAAATCTTTCTATTTCTCTCTCTATGAAACGTTAGCCAGGTAAGGTGAAATTATGGTCAGTTCCGTCTAATCAGGCCTAACAATTGACTCATGTATAATCTTTCTATTTCGTATTAGCGGAAAACGTTAGCCAGGTATGAAATTATGGTCAGTTCCGTAATAATCAGGCCTAACAATTGACTCAGTATAATCTTTCTATTTCGTATCGGAAAACGTTATGGTAAAAATGGTATGGTCATTTCCGTAATAATCAGGCCTAACAATTGACTCAAAATTTAATAATCTTTCTAACAATTGACTCAGAAATCTTTCTATTTCTCTCGTTAGCCAGGTAAAAGGTGAAATGGTATGGTCATTCCGTAATAATCAGGCCTAACAATTGACTCAGTATAATCTTTCTATTTCGTATTAGCGGAAAACGTTAGCCAGGTAAGGTGAAATTATGGTCAATTTCGTAATAATCAGACCTAACAATTGACTCAGTATAATCTTTTCTATTTCGTATCGGAAAACGTTAGCCAGGTAAGGTGAAATGGTTGGTCAGTTCCGTAATAATCAGGCCTAACAATTGACTCAGTATAATCTTTCTATTTCGTATTAGCGGAAAACGTTAGCCAGGTAAGGTGAAATGGTATGGTCAGTTCCGTAATAATCAGGCCTAACAATTGACTCAGTATAATCTTTCTATTTCGTATCTAGCGGAAAACGTTAGCCAGGTAAAAATGAAATGGTATGGTCAGTTCCGTAATAATCAGGCTAACAATTGACTCAGTATAATCTTTCTATTTCGTATTAGCTTAGCCAGGTAAGGTGAAATGGTATGGTCAATTCCGTTCAGGCCTAACAATTGACTCAGTATAATCTTTCTATTTCATATCAGCGGAAAACGTTAGCCAGGTTGAAATGGTATGGTCAGTTCCGTAATAATCAGGCCTAACAATTGACTCAGTATAATCTTTCTCTCTCGTATTAAATCTTTCGTTAGCCAGGTAAAGGTGAAATGGTATGGTCAGTTCCGTAATAATCAGGCCTAACAATTGACTCAGTAAATCTTTCTATTTCGTATTAGCGGAAAACGTTAGCCAGGTAAGGTGAAATGGTATGGTCAAATCCGTAATAATCAGGCCTAACAATTGACTCAGTATAATCTTTCTATTTCGTATTAGCGGAAAACGTTAGCCAGGTAAGGTGAAATGGTATGGTCAGTTCCGTAATAATCAGGCCTAACAATTGACTCAGTATAATCTTTCTATTTCGTATTAGCGGAAAACGTTAGCCAGGTAAGGTGAAATGGTATGGTCAGTTCCGTAATAATCAGGCCTAACAATTGACTCAAATCTTTCTATTTCGTATTAGCGGAAAACGTTAGCCAGGTAAGGTGAAATGGTATGGTCAATTCCGTAATAATCAGGCCTAACAATTGACTCAGTATAATCTTTCTATTTCGTATTAGCGGAAAACGTTAGCCATTTCGAAATGGTATGGTCAGTTCCGTAATAATCAGGCCTAACAATTGACTCAGTATAATCTTTCTATTTCGTATTAGCGGAAAACGTTAGCCAGGTAAGGTGAAATGGTATGGTCAGTTCCGTAATAATCAGGCCTAACAATTGACTCAGTATAATCTTTCTATTTCGTATTAGCGGAAAACGTTAGCCAGGTAAGGTGAAATGGTATGGTCAGTTCCGTAATAATCAGGCCTAACAATTGACTCAGTAAATCTTTTTATTTCTCTCTCGTTAGCCAGGTAAAAATGGTATGGTCAGTTCCGTAATAATCAGGCCTAATCTTTCTTTCTATTTCGTATTAGCGGAAAACGTTAGCCAGGTAAGGTGAAATGGTATGGTCAGTTCCGTAATAATCAGGCCTAACAATTGACTCAGTATAATCTTTCTATTTCGTATTAGCGGAAAACGTTAGCCAGGTAAGGTGAAATGGTATGGTCAGTTCCGTAATAATCAGGCCTAACAATTGACTCAGTAAATCTTTCTATTTCTATTAGCGGAAAACGTTAGCCAGAAATGGTATGGTCAGTTCCTCTTAATAATCAGGCTAACAATTGACTCAGTATAATCTTTCTATTTCGTTTCGGAAAACGTTAGCCAGGTAAGGTGAAATGGTATGGTCAGTTCCGTAATAATCAGGCCTTTGACTCAGTATAATCTTTCTATTTCGTATTAGCGGAAAACGTTAGCCAGGTAAGGTGAAATTATGGTCAGTTCCGTAATAATCAGGCCTAACAATTGACTCAGTATAATCTTTCCATTTCGTATTAGCGGAAAACGTTAGCCAGGTAAGGTGAAATGGTATGGTCAGTTCCGTAATAATCCAGGCCTAACAATTGACTCAGTATAATCTTTCTATTTCGTATTAGCGGAAAACGTTAGCCAGGTAAGGTGAAATGGTATGGTCAGTTCCGTAATAATCTAACAATTGACTCAGTATAATCTTTCTATTTCGTATTAGCGGAAAACGTTAGCCAGGTAAGGTGAAATGGTATGGTCAGTTCCGTAATAATCAGGCCTAACAATTGACTCAGTATAATCTTTCTATTTCGTATTAGCGGAAAACGTTAGCCAGGTAAGGTGAAATGGTTCTATTTTCTTCCGTAATAATCAGTCTAACAATTGACTCAGTATAATCTTTCTATTTCGTATTAGCGGAAAACGTTAGCGTTTCTGAAATTATGGTCTTTCCGTAAATGAAATGGTTCTATTTCTCTCGTTAGCCAGGTATGAAATCAGGCCGTAACAATTGACCTTTGACTCAGTATAATCTTTCTATTTCGTATTAGCGGAAAACGTTAGCCAGGTAAGGTGAAATGGTATGGTCAGTTCCGTAATAATCAGGCCTAACAATTGACTCAGTATAATCTTTCTATTTCGTATAAGAGGAAAACGTTAGCCAGGTAAGGTGAAATGGTATGGTCATTCCGTAATAATCAGGCCTCAATTGACTCAGTATAATCTTTCTATTTCGTATTGACTTAGCCAGGTAAGGTGAAATGGTATGGTCAGTAATAATCAGGCCTTCAATTGACTTTTCTATTTCGTATTAGCGGAAAACGTTAGCCAGGTAAGGTGAAATGGTATGGTCAGTTCCGTAATAATCAGGCCTAACAATTGACTCAGTATAATCTTTTTATTTCATATCAGTGGAAAACGTTAGCCAGGTAAGGTGAAATGGTATGGTCAATTCCGTAATAATCAGGCCTAATAATTGACTCAGTATAATCTTTCT